CCTCCTTCCCCGTCCTAACTTATATAGCCCCTGTGACCTCATTCACCTGGGCCAGCGGAGGTCAGCCCCAGTTGGCTGTCAGCCAACCAATCTGAAATGCATCACCTGTTACCGGGCAGATTCCAGCTCCCCAGGTAGAAACCCCTTACCCAGGTAAGTGATGCAAGTCACGTAGGCAGAGGGAGCAGGTTTCCCCCCTCCCTCAGGAATGCAGCCAGCTCAAGTTCCCTAAAGAGACAGGCTGAGGGTGTGGTCCCCTGTGTGCTGGGCCCATCCTAATTGAATGGTCACAGCACAGAGATTTAAATCACAGTGTCACAGGGCAGAGATTTTTGGGGAGAAACCAAGGTGGCATTCTGCCACAGTGCTAACAGCCCACACTGTAAAGAAGGGAGAATAGTGAGCTTTTAAGAATTAATTCCCACACTGGTGGCCATGTCAATAGGCCTCAAGTGGAAGTTGCCTAGGTGCCACAGGGAAGAAGGGTCCATTTTTCATGGTAACTGAGACTCTGTTCTTGGGCTATGCCCAAGCAGTGGTGAGTTGAAGAGCAAAGATAATATTTAAACACTATTTGGTCCTTCCTCATTCCTAAGTCAGTATCCCCTGTATCTCAGCATGGAGATGACTTTTTGAGTGGCTTTTGTTATTCCTACAGAAATGTAAATGGAAGAGGCAGAAGCAATGGCAAGGAAGCCTGCTCCTGGGAGAAGGGATTTGGAGGAATAATGAAGCTGGAAGCGAGCACAGATCAAACTGGCTGTCCCAGCCACTGAAGCATTATTAGATTCACTGTTCCTCTGCACTGAGCCTCTGAAGGAGCTGTGAGACTGCATGGCACAGCTTGCTCCTTGTTCCTGCAAGTATAATAAACTTAGCAGAAGAATAGGAGAAAACCACCTGCGTTTTTAAGTGGGTTAAGCAGACCTTGCTTTTGCCACTTACCAGCTAACAGCTTTGTGGGAAGTGTCTCTTTATTCATTTCAAACTTAGTGTTTGAAATCTGCTTAAATCACACTGACAGTCAAGTACTACACAAGGCAAGAGAAATGAGTTTCCGCAGGAAAATATGCTTAATTTTCCAAATCAAAACAGGATGCATTTATAGCTAATATTTTAAATGTTCCCAGTCTTTCATTTGTCAATAATCCACCACAATAGAACATGTAATTGGCTACTGGTACACAGTTGGGGTATGCTATAGTGCTAAAACGTCACTGGGACTTAACACGATTGATTTAGTGAAGTCAAGAGGACTTAAAGGTGTGCTTTTGTTTTTATCAGCCTTGGCACCCTCCCCAAAGTGGCTTATTAGCAGCCAGGAGCCAATCAAGAAGTTTGAAAAGGCGGGGTGCAGGCTCAGTATTTCTCCGGGGTTTAATGCAACATCCTCTATTAGTGAAATGTAGCTGGGAGGAAAAAGGTAAAGGGAGAGTGCCTGGGAAAGGTTCTGAATGTCGTTTCTCTGTGGTTTTGCAGAAACTTCTTGGTAACATTTAAAGTTAAGTTGTAACTGAGACCCAGCCCTTGGGTGAACCATGCAAACCCCCTTCTCCCACCTTTCAAACTAGTGCTAGGTGATTCAGGACACCCTTTTCCATCATGAACTCATCATTTGGAGGATGTCTCTCTCACTTATATATTTTAAAAAATCTTCATCAGAAAAATTACAGTGACTGATTATTTAAATAAACAAGTGCTACCACAGAAGGATCCAAGAAATCAAAAGGGAATACAGCAAATCCACATGCTGAGATATAACATAATAATGGTGAAGTTTTCACTTTACCTGAGTTGCAAAGCAAGTGGTGGAGGCAGTATCTTTACTCCTATTCTTCCTATAAGTGCTGGAACGACACCAACTAGTTCAATCACTGTAACATGTCGAAGGTCTAACCCACACTGTGCTGGCTAGAAGGGCCCAGAAAAAGACGGGAATACCCATAAGTGAACATGATTATAATGGGAGATCTACTTTAAAGGCTCAATAGGTGACGTCTACAAAGAGCTCTGAACATCGTTACATTAATGTTGTAATCTCTACACTTGGCCTTGCTTCTTTTTATAGCAACCATTTTAGTAGCACTTTATGAATGCACTTCAGTCTTCATGATGACTGAAAATATTGCATGAATGGATTTTTAGCACATTTTAAAAAAAACACATTGCCCCTAATAAAAAAGAAAGAGGCTGTTAGATTAAAAATTATGCCAGTACTGTAATCTGGATTTTTCTCTAAGGCCTGACCATTTGATCACCTTGGTGGGAGGAAGTGGGAAGCACTGTACCTATTAAATTTAACCTGGTAAAAACTGCAGTGAAAATAAATTTAATGGTCAAGCCAAATAAAATATCAAAAATACTACTTCTATTAATTCACAAACTGGAAATAGAAACAAAATAATGAGGATTTACAAGTGATATCATTGTATTTATTATTGCTGGATTTTGTTATAAACAGTAGCAGAAAACAAATGTTTGCTCCTGCTGGTCTAACTAACGGTTTCATTCTCTTTTGGAGACCTCTACCTCTCTACTGCATGTCGATGGTCAGGTTCTTGCCAGGGTTAAAGTGTACAGCTAGATGAACACAGGTACTGCATAATTAAAATGGTCACACCATTGTTGCATATTTTGAAACAAACACCATAAGGAGATAGGCCTTCTACAAAGACATATCTTAACATTTTTTTTCTCAAGAAAAATTGTTACATAGTTTGTAGTAATAATTGGGGGATATTTATACAAGTTCTGAATCATGATACAACTTCCTCCCAAATGTCTACATTCAGGAAGGTCAAAAAGAGTCCCTGAGCTGGTAACTGATTTGGATTCTGGTGTGTTGTTTTTGCACACATCCACATTTTTTGCACTACAATCACAAAAGTAATCGATATACTAACAAAAGTGGATTAGCCCCTTAGCAGCTAAAAATTGGATGGTAATGCTACTTCAGAGCTGCCAGCTCATGGCTAGAGTCTCAGCTGTTCCACTGCAGTCCATGGAGAAATTTCACTGACTGAGAATCTGACCTTCTTGTGTATTTAAAAAAATGCTGTGAAATAAGGCACCCTGCTTACCTGCAGCATTCCTAGTTGTATCCTGTAGAAGTAGTTGGCTGCAGTAGGAGTTGATATAATTAGCAGTCTCCGTTTCTCATAAAACTGATCCAGGAGGGCAGCTGCACTTCTCACCGCAACATTAATATTCATAGCTGGAATTAAAAATTAAGAACAAAAATCACAGAGATTGCACAAACAGACCTGCTTTCAAACTGCAGCAATTAGCAAAAACAACTATTAAATCCAAGGAAAGAAAAAGAGAATAATGCAGGAGCTGGGGCTAAATGTTAATGCGCAAAATTCTGGCTCTGCTGAAGTCAATAAGAATCTATCACAAGTTGTAATGAAGGCATATCTTTGAAGTCTCTCTCCACATCACCCAAACCAGCAATGAAGAACAGCAGCTGCTTCTGCAAGTTGCTTGGAGGAATGCAATGAACATATATTTCTTCTTTTTGCACAGCTGAAAATAAGGAAGAATAAGCCTTGGAGTCACAGTACCTTGGGTCTAACTTATCAATTCCAATCTTGCTTTGGGATTAATAAAGAGGAGCAAAAACTCTGGACTGTCAAAAATAAGCTGCATGACTTTATTTAAAACAAAACAAAACAACTCACCACATTCACTAAAATTATGAGCACTGTTGGGTTGACTGACAATTTTCTGAATGCCTGCAAGCACATGCATTGATGAATGGTGATTGAATCAAAGAAAAGCAGGGCTGGAAAGGACCTCAGGAGGTCATCTACCCCAACTCCTGCTCTAAGCAGGATCTTCCCTATCTAAACCCATCCTATACACATCTCTGATGTGTCCAATTGGTTGGGCAAAGATCTTTAGTGACCTTCAGCCAGGGACAGCTGCAGAGTTTGTTCCAAGGTACCACTGTAGTTAAAAGCTACATCAATAAAGAAAGATGGGGTGGAAGCAAGTGCAGGTGAATAAACTCTGCAACTGCAACTTTTACTCACATGAATGAAAACTGAAGGATCTAAACCAATGGTTTTCAACTTTTTTTCATTTTGTGGACACCCCAAAATTTTTGAATGGAGGCGTGGACCCCTTTGAATCGTAAGTGTGGGTATTCACATGCTTTTGATTGACCATAATCATCTTTCATTAACCCCTTAAACAGTCTGTGGACCCACAGGGGTCAGCAGACCACAGGTTGAAAACCACTGATCTAGACCAGGGGTGGGCAATTATTTTGGCTGGAGGGCTGCTTAATGAGTTTTGGTGACCTGTACCTCCACCCCTGGGTCGCAATCTTGGAACTGGAAGTCCCACCCCTAAGCTGTGCAGGTGCTGCTGCCCATCAGCAGGCGGTTCCAGCCAGAGCTGCATGTGGCAGCAAGGAGTGCAACCAGGCTGGCTCACCTCTATTCTATGGGGCTCCCTGCGGCACATATGCAGCTCAGGGCACTCGCACGCCACCAAAGCAAGCCCCACACAATGGAGCCAGCATACAATAGTAGATTGTAGGTTGTTCAGTAACAGAAATGTATTATCTGCAATGATTTTATACAGAAAAACTAGTATGTAAAGAGAGCCGGTGGATGAGGATGAGGAGTAGGGAAGAATACCAAGAAAAGCCAGAAGTCCAATTGTATATTGAACACTGATGGAGAAAAGGAGAGAATTTAGTTTACAAAGAGGTGTACGAAGGCTGATAACCATTGGTAGGAAAAGCTAAGGAGCTTTTTGCTTATTAAAAGCAGAATGTATCGGCTTGTCTCTCTGTCACCTCTGATGCAGTGTGCTCTGAAGTTTTACCAAGAGATTTATAAGACATGTTACAGTTAGTTATCCTCTAGCAAAAATTTCCTAGTTTGCCACATATCGAATGCTAGCTTTTGAACAAGTGACAGTAACTGTGCAATGCAACTACGAGGAAGTGGCATGCAGAGCTATAAGCAAATCTTTTATGCCATTCACTTTCTGTTCAGTACAGTAATAAAGTACTCACGTACGTGTACAGGTTGGCTCCACTCCTGACCAGCCTAAGTTGTACTGGCATACTCTAGCAGGGCTTCCTTGCAAGTCATAGCCACCAACGCAGAAAAACTCACAGGTAGCACCATAGTTATTTCCATCACCTGAACATTTTAAGTAGCCATTTTCTGGGGCGTTCAGTTTAACACAGCGCCTGACTTTGAATAGGAAAAAGAACAACAATAATTGTTTCTCCAGTGCAGCCTTACTCATAAAATTATACTGCAAGAATATAAAAGTGGTATTGTGGCTTGTTCTTTATTCCTAGCTTTCAGACAATCAAGCACTTCCTTTCCAGTATGAATGCAGCTATTATGTTTGCCTACTAATTAATTCATCATATTCATACACATACACACAAGCAATAAAAACCAAGGCATTAAGGAAATGAAGATTTGAAGCCCAGTATGTCAGAGACTCACAGCTTTCAACTGCTACTCTGTCAGAGGGTAGCCTACCCAACAGATCTGAGGAAGTCTTATCATCTGTGACTCAGTAGCTGATTTGAGAGGACTACAGAGTTTGGAGGATAGGGGAGCTCAGGACTAGGGAGGAAATGAACAAGGAGAGCATGAACAGGGAGGAGGAACAGCATAGGGGAGCAGGGCTGATCAACACAGTGACTCTTAACTTGAACCAGTGCTGCTTCCTCAGATAGCTACAGCTCAGTTCCCTGGGTCCCTAATCCAAACTGATTTGAGCATTTTCAATCTACATGAAAGACTCAGGGAAAAGTTCACAGATGCATACGCAAGGTATATAACAAGACTTATTTGCACCTGGCTGATTAAAAATACAGATGTATTGGCTTTGTTTACATAATTAGACATTTCTCTTACCTCTGACTTTAACCAGAAATTTGCAAGTGCCTTTATTCTCAGCTCTGTCATACACAGTGTAATGGATTTTGTGGTCACCTTCTGGAAAATGTGACCCTGATGAGAAGCCTTTCAGAATAACACTAAAATGAGAAACAGAATAGTACAGATGTTTAGAAAGTAAGGGTCATGTCACACATTGCACTTAAGACGTGTTAACTGCACTTACAAGTCGCACAGTCACATGTTCAAGCAGTAAAGCAAGTGCTAAGTGTGATTGTATTGTAGCAATTACAACTTTCCTCCAGCCGAGCATCTCCAGATCACATTTAAGTAGCATGTGCTCAGCTGTTGTCAGACTGCTCCATGGAGATAACATGAGTTCAAGATACTGTTGTGGTGCCAGGGCTGGTTCAAGACTGCCAGCAACAGAGACCCAGCTTGTCCCACAGATCCAGCAGTAGGAGTGGCACCCTCTCCTGGGCGTGGTTCCCTATACCTCCTTTCACTAGCCACCAGAGATCCAGCTCACCCTGGCTTGCCAGGGACAGGTGCTCCCAGGCTGAACAGTGCTGGGGACAAGGTGAGGAAGGCACAGGCTCCAGGCATCCTCATGGGTGGACGTGTGAATTGTGCACCCAGACATGTGTTATAGCACCTGGCACCAGAGTTTGCAACAGGGGGTTCTCTGCTGGCTCCAGCCTTGTTCAGAGTGGACTGAGATGTTAGTAACCATTGTCATGTGCTGCTCAGAATATATTCTCACTTTCAGCAGGGCATGGTAATGCTGACAGCATGCACTAAGTGTCCCATGCAACAAGTGAGTTATCTGCCTACTGGAAAAATCCCAGCAATCTTCAGATGAAAGGCTTTTCTGTGACTGGGCAATGTCCAGAATGCTAGCTATGCTGAGAATCACAGAGCCAGAAAAAATAGCTAGGAGGAAGATAGACAGTGGAGCCCAATGCATGTAAGAGTTAAAATCACAGAAGCCTAGTTTTGTCTTAGCAAAATTACCCACTATTAACAGCAGATAAATGAGGTGTTGACATGGTCTCTTTGATTCCCATCACTACAAGTTACCTATCAGCATCATTGTACTTACTTACATTTCATGTAACAATTAAAAGAAGCTCACGCCCATTATATTTATATATGGGGAACTCCAGACCAACTCTGCATACAGGATAGTCTACAATGTAGGACTTGGGCATAAGCCAGGACTAGGTAGAGCTGTATTGTCTGGCATTCTCTGTATGGATGAAAAGGTAATGAGGAATCAAGATTATTTTAAGGTAGGAGGGTTGGGCATCCAGTTTCAGGCTTTAGCTCAGTTGCTCATTCCTGACAACAGCATATGTCAAGAGAATACTGAACTCACAAGGTAGAAATGCAGAAGTCAGGCTCAGTCTAAACACAGGTCATGTTTCAATCTAATTTGTGGCACTATTTTGTTTTAAGACATTTCCTCCCATCTCCTCTTGGACAGCAACAGAAGATACTATCTGAGGCTTGGAGGACTGGAAGCCTTGAGAGTGTACAAATACCGTTTAATTGTTTGCTAGGGAACTGTCCCAGCTTGCTATAGGTAGAGTGTGTTTTGGTAATGAGCTTTTTTTAATGCTATGACTCTAGCTAAACCAAACGGCTCCAGGGTCTTGCATGGCACTCTAGTTTTAACATACCAGCAGAGAATAGTATGGCTAACCCTAACTATTCAAAAACCATGAGACAGGCTACCAAGCAAGAAGTCATAAGACTGGCTTAAATAATGTATCATGATTTCCTTAGATTTGATAAGTCTGAGCAGTATTATTTATCCTATGGTTCAGGAGCCTATACCTCCCCAAGTTCGTGACCTTGACATGGTGGAGAGCCTTGTAAGCTATCCATGACCTCAAAAGTGATGCCCTCTGGGGTTTTGTACTCTTGGTAGGGCCACCAGTGGTGGCAAGTTTGGATCATTGTTAGTGATCCAAGTTTATTTTTGGATCACTAACAATGATCCAAAAATAAAAATAAAATCCTCAACAGTGGAGCCTGCAGATAAAGAAACACTACTTCACATGGCTGCAAAGGCAGATGAAGGCTACAGTGGAATAGAAACCTGTGTTTGTTTAGGTTTTCCTTCCTATTGGATTAAGGTTTCTTTCTCATGAAGTACCTCATGCTTGCTGATGCTCAGTTGTGTCCCCACATTAAAAGAAGACATATAGGTGTCTTCCTTCATAAACTTGCCTCACTATGGAAGCAGATAGATGAAAGACGAAATGAGAAATCAGTGACCAACATCATCAGAATCCATTCCTTCCTTCCAAAATGATTTGCCATGTCGGCAACTGAATATGTGCATCTCAGATCTGCCTCAGTTATCTCCAGACTCACCAACGACTTTCCTATTTACTAGAAGACTATCATCCTTGTATTGAGGGACTCCCAACAATGAGCCTATAAGAATCATACATAGGACCACAGAACTGGAAGAGATCTCCTGAATCATTAAGTCCAGTTCCCTGTATTTGCAGTCAGTTTTAGCTGAAGGAATCCTCCAAATTGCCACTTTGAACCCTCACAAGCAACTACCAGGAACAATATCCAAAGTGCTAAAAACACCCTCACAATTTCAAACTTTTTCTACAGCAATGAGAATTAGAAACATTCTTTTAAAAATAAAGAAACCCAAGATTTTCACACGTTTACTAGACTCTAGGATCGGGGGATTTAAGAAAAAAACATCAGTATCATGGAACTGATAGTAAAATGATAGGAGTTAGAAACTGAAATTCTGGAAACCTGCATGTTCTTTACAGAATGTCTCCATAGTTTCACTGCCACCTGACTGGATTGGGAACAGCTATTGGTGCTTTATAATCTTCACCATATTCAATTATTGCCACTATATTCAGATATTAGGTCAAAAGTTCTTATTTTAAAATCAAAAGAGCTGCTTCAGTAGCTTTTAAAGCAGGGGCAGGCAATTATTTTGGGCAGAGGGCCGCTTACTGAGTTTTGGCAAGCCATTGAAGGCCGCATGACAGGCAGCCCAGGGCAGATAAATATTAATTTTCTAAATTTTTAGGGGCCACATTTTGCCCAACCCTGCTTTAAAGCAAACATTATGGGGTTTTTGTCAACACAAACACTAAGTGTTTTATTTATATAATGAATTCTTCCATCTTGCGTGTGTTTCTTTCCACAGTCTCTCTTTAGCACTTTCAAACATCTTCATCAAATAGTTTAAGTTGGGAACTTCCTTCATGTTTCAGTGAATAGAAAGTTGATTCTTTTTTTTTTTCTTTTTTTTTTAACTATTCAATTCCTGTAGCAGCTTTTTTTTGGTAAGAGGACAGTTAACTGGCTCTCGTTCTCATCAAAGAATTTTGGGTAGCCATCTTCATTTTGCCAATCTTGTATCATGCAAATTAGAGGCAGCTAGTACTAATACAAGTAGTAGTTTATCTCCCCTATTGGTTTTATGGGTTTTCGTGTTGTAATAGACAAGAGAATAGCACTGGGAGAAATATGAAAAATATAACTGTAAAACCACAAAAATGGGGAGTGAGCTTTAGGGCAACTGTAGTACCCAGTCCTTTTTTAAAACCACATCATTTTAGAAGTGGCGTGCTAAAGAACTCCAGGTCCCAGGTTTCTACATCAGATTATGTGAAAGTTTGAAGATGTATGTTAAATTCTCACTGGCACACTATTTGTCTTGTATTTTAACACAGCCACACAGTTATTCTCTGTTAATTTCCTCAGATAACACGCTCTCTTTGCTTTTAGTATGTCTCAGAGGTACTGCACCACATGAAACTCTTGCTTACAGGAAAAAAGAAAGCCTCCCAAAAGCTCTTTCGGAAATCCCACAAGGTGTCACAGAAAAGTTGCTGACTGAAAAGCTGATATATATCTATCCCATCAGCTTTAAAACTGATGCAGCAGTCTGCTAGCTTTTTGTATGCCAACTCCTGGACAATTTACCTCCCTCTAAAGCGGAGGGTAAACCTGAATTTTATATAAATTGAAGGGCCACATAAGATTCAACAGCAAGTGAACATTCCTGCAGATTGTCACAAGGAAAAGGATACCAGCCAAACTGGTCACTTAGAGTGATATTCTATGTCTAGACCATTAGACCTAATGGCCATATAGACGACCAAATGGAAACAGATTCAAGGCTACCAAACGGTAACAGAATGTCACCCTTGGGACACTGAAGGGGGTCTAGGAAAAGACTAAACAAGTATCCTTAGAGTTTCACTTACTCTGTTAAAATACCATCAGCTGTGTCCCTTCCCTCTGGCGTGTCCCAGAACACTCGGGCTGTCAGCTTATTGGGCTCTGCTATTTTCTCTTTCACACTCGGACACTGGATTCTAGGAGGTTCTGTATCTGTTAACACACACACAGTTTAATTAAGCCCTTAGTCTATTCTCCATAAAGCTGTGATATAACTTCAGACCGTCATGCCTGCAGTCCTCCTAATGTCTGAGCTGAGGTCATAGAAGATACACTTAATGTCTTACATCTTGAATGTAGGAAGGAGTAGAAGGAAAAGTGCAAGATCTATCCAGTTAATCCTATGGTCACCTCCTAGATTGAGTAAATAGAAATGAAGCACACAGAGTTAGTATGGTAGTGGACTTTTGTATAAAATCACCTGCAACATTCAGAAAACACATAGTAGACTAAGCTTGGAAATGGGGATCAGGAACACTTGAGATACCATCAAAGCTCTGACACTCACTACATGACTTCAGGGAAGTTACTGATCTGCTATGTCTGTTCAGTCCTCTGTAAAACTGAAGTTGTACTTACCTACTTCCTGGCAGGTTGTTGACTGATTAGTTATAACTGATTATAACTAATGATGGAAGTAATTTGAAGCATAAAGCTCTCTGACTGCTAAGCATTATTATTAACAATAATGTATTAACCCATTTTGATTTTTATCTTGCAGTGGTGACAGGCAATAAACTGTTAAGGAACGAACACATTTTTATCTTACAATTAATCACTACTGCCCTACTAGCCCTAGTTATATTTGTTAATATTAATGTTTTGCTCAGGAATATTATTTGTGAGGTTTATCTTGATACTCTATGGGCATGTCTACAAGTCGCTGTGCTTTATCACTTCGTTTTGGAAGTACGAAAGCATGGCACAGTATAGGTGGTTACTGCTCCACGTGCACGGCACATGGTTAGATTTCGCCGCTACATCCTCATAGCGGAGTGTTATAACCAGGGAGCACGCTGCTATGGCAACACGTGTGATCGCTATGTCATCCTAGCACATCATAAGGCAACAGAGCGCATGGCTAAGTCGCCATAGGGCGACATGTAGACATGCACTAGAAGAATAATTTAAAAGCAGAAATATAAAAGAATTGAATGTTTTTGAAAGGGCATTATGACTATTACTCAGCACTAGAAGAATACTGATGGGACATAAACAGTGATTAAGTTTAAAGCTGACATATAACTGCACTGATTCATCCACTTCCATTAGCTATGGTTATCCAACCCAGTCAGTGTAATGCATCATTCAAGTAAAATTGTAAGTGAATTAAGCTGGTCAACACACTGATGTTGGCTACAAGATCCATTAAGACTCAGCTTAGACATTTTTAGCCAAAGTGAAGCTGAAGCACAGACCATAAATATGATTTCTGGAGACATGTATCTGGTCTTGGCCTGCAGATAAGAGTCATCTTTAAAAGCATTTTATAAGTTCAAAGAGCCTTTTGTTTGTCATATTTCAGACACAGTGCATGGTCTGCCTCCATTTACATGCCATTGGAAAAACTGGCATTGATTTCAATGATAACAGGGAAGGGCCTGTATTTGTAACAGATAATCAAAAATAAGATAGTTATTCTATAAAATGACAGAATATTTTCTAGAAGAGCTATTTTTTATCTAGTTGGTGTTGTGTTTTGCTGAATCACTGTAGTTACTTCAAATGTACCATGGTGGTTTCGGAGCCTTGGTCCTCAATACACTTTCTTTCTGTGTATTACAGTAAAAGCTTTGTTATTTGGCTTGAGTGGGGTGAGGGGAGGTGCCGGTTATCTAAAAATTATGGTTATCTGAGAGTTATACCAGCTCCAGCCCACAGTGGCAGCCCACCCTGCCCCGCACAGATCCCTTTCCCCTCCCCCAACCCCTTCCCCTGCAGACTTTCCTGCCTGGGGGGTGGGCATGCGTGCATGCCCAGCGCCTCCCTCCCAAAAAAATTTTTTTCCCTCTGCCTATGTGGGTATCAACCATAAGGGCTCCTGGCAGCTCCTATATCGGCAGTGTCACTAACTAATGTAAACAATAAAAATACCTGATGTACATGACAGATAGACCCAGCAAAGTTTCCGGCTGCTAAAGTGAGGATTTGTGTTGGGGGATATGGGAAATTCCAGTTAATAGAGTATTCCAGTTAGTAAAATGCCAGTTAACACAGCTTTTACTGTACTTCTCTATTTTGGGAAGTACTAGGGTATGGGTTTAGCCTTTCCTTCCCAGCAAAGGACTCCTCAAAACCACAGTACTCAGTAACAAGATAGTTATCCTCCAGCAGGATGTATAAAATAGTCAGTAGAACAACAGCCAACAAGAATAATGGGCTTATGTTACAGCCCAGTAGGGAGAACAATTAACGGTGAATCATTTATTTAGAAAATTTAACTTTGCTGGCATTTGCCTATTATCTATCAATTTTTAAAAGAGAACTCTTTGCTGTGCTAAAGTGTCTGACAAAGGTTTTCTGTGAACCAACTTCAGCATACATATTGCTTGTAGTGTTTCATATCTCCTGTGAGAAAGACTTTTACTTAAGATACGCAGTAATAATATTTTTTCTTTACCGCAGCTTTATAAGCTAATTACAGATCTATCTAACTTTCAGTCACTCCTCAGAATCCACACTGGACTCTGGCTTTGCCCTAGTGCTATTCTTTCTTTTCTTCAGTTCTCTTCCTTGATTCTTTAAAAGTCTTAACCTTCTCTCCCATACTATTGCCTGAAAGCTGCTCCTTCTTCATCACCTCATCATTTCCTTTATAAAGGAAATCTTTTCCATTTCCTTTTTCAAAATCTTTTCACAGTTCGTTCTTCTGCTGTAGTCTCTAACCAGGCCCTTTTGCAGTTTTGTACTTCTGCTCTAAGGAAATGTTTTCCTTCCCCTTCCCCTTCACATTTCCTCCTCACTCCACTATTTTAACTCTATCCTGACACCACTGATGAAGTAGAAGCCACACTGAATTCATTCTTCGAACAATGACAATCCCCACTTTTTCTCCTTAAAAGCAACCTGTATTGAATTTCTTTTGGGGGAACTAACAGTTAAAACTCTTTCCGCTCATTTCTACGGCTTGTTAAAGAGTTTCCTTTGTAGCTGTGAACTAACACTCTGGTATTAAAGGCACTATATAAATGACTAAAATTTAACGTAAGGATGGGAGATGGGAGAGGAGGGTGTTTAGTGCACCCAATGTTTTAAGCATTTAATTGATTTATTAGAGTGATTAAATATTGGAACAGGATATCTAGCAAAGTTGTTAGTCAGACAGACACTTGGCTGGGATGTTTTAGTCAGGGATGATCCTGCTCTGAGCAGGAGGCTGAACTAAATGATCTCATGAAGTTTCTTCCAGCCCTGCTTGCCTATGATCAGAAAGTAGATTCCATCAGTAAGTATACAGAACAAGATTTGCATGAACTAGCATTAATTAGCAATTCATTTCATTAAGCAACAAAAGCAGGTTACTATGGGAACTGAATCACCAAGTACCCTTCAGGAAGTCCTTCTTGTTGAACCTGAAAACACTCTAAAAACATATTTTCTGTGCATAATTCAGGTGGACAGGTGCTATTTAATATTTACATGTCTCTGGATAACCATACCAAAACACTCAGAATTTAAACTGAGTGAAAGAATACAGTCACCTACTAAAGCAAGGATACTCAAAGAAAAGTATGCAATGCTATGTTGAATCAAGCAGCTCCAGATCTCCTCATATCCTAAGCATATCATTTGCATCATTACCAAGGCACAGTCTTCATCATCTGCATCTCTTTTCAGTCATTATCTATATCTCTGTTTATAAGTGGATTATGAACTAGTTCATTTAAGCAATTAATAGGGCATTTTGAGAGTAAGGTAATCTATTAATGGATGCACTTTGATTGGATGTTCTATCATATTAGGCAGGGGGGTTTGAGTTACAATGAAAAATTTGAAGCTGCTCACCTATGATTTTCCTTTCATACTTTCCTGAAGCTTGTCATATGAACTATGGTACTTCATTCCATATGTAGAAATGACCCTGTTGGTTGCCTAGCCCACATCAAAAAGTCAGTGGCAATCCACAGAATGAATGGGGCCTTTTGATCTTTCTGGAAAAAATGAAGAACAAGCTTTCCAATAGCCTGTGGGTTTCTCAAACTCCAGCAAATTTTTTGAGACAGGGGAGTGAGAAATGGTATTGAATACAGAAATTTGAAGGTGATGTGGGTATCTGAATGTAGCAGAGAAAGGTTTGGTGCCAAACAGCACTTGTTACTACCGATAGGCGATGCAATTCTAGATAACTGCTGGTAGTTAATTCAAACTAACCATCCGACAGAGAAAGCAAATTTAGACAAAAATAATTAATTGTACCAAACTTTGAAACATCTGTTTTATAATCCATTATTAAATGCCAGTACAAATACTGATTCAGATCCAAGGCCAATTTCAGTCTTGCTCAACTGGAAGCTGTTAGTTAATTACTTTTTGAAATATTCCCTAAAATGCAACAAAGGATGTAGCAGAATGACAAATACTATTTACCACAATATCTGCAATGCAGCTGGTTGACAAATGAATACATAATTTTCAGGATAAAGTTCAGACTTTTAAAGTGTTTGAATTTCTCATGGTTTGAAAGGGATTAATTTGTCTACAATTTTTAAAAGGAAAACATTTATTAAAAATAGTATTAAGTGTTTATTGAAAAATCTATTTTTTGTTTAAATAAAATGTTTCAAAGCTAAATTTATTAGGGGAAAAATAATAAAAATGCATATTTCAAATAGCAAAGCCCCTTTCTTTCAGAAACTCAACTTACTGTAACCAGGGCAACTGAGTGGGCCAGCCCTAACCCCGGCCTTACCTTATCAGTCCTTACCTTCACTACCACTTACAGCGACCAACCACCAGTCCAAGATTGTCACCCTGCCCTAAGAATAACCAGGCTCACACCTCACCCTTAACCTAACTCCAAAACACCCAAAGACAGGTTCTTAACGTGTGTTTGGCTAAACTGAATTAGCTAGATTAAGTTAAAATAACTGCAAAGACAAGGTAATCTGGAGTCATAACTTGGTTTAGCAACCGAAGTAGCAGCAGGGTGATGTAGAGCTAGCATTTAATAAGCTTGGCTTGAGCTAATTCACTCTTAAGGTTAGCCTGGTGCCTTCTGCATGGTACTGCACTTTCAACATTATACTCACAGGCTAGGGACAGACATTACGCATAAACCAGTTTAAGTGATCAGAAACTGGTTTAAGTCTGTAACAGAACAGGTGTTCAGCGCACCAGTTTGAAAATGGCCAAAACCAGTTTGAGATAAACCTGGTTAAATGTAGTATCAGACTTAGCTGATTTGACTCAAACCAGTTTGTGTAATGTCTGTCCCAGACCCCTTGCTGGTTTAAGATAAATCAGACACCCCCAGCATCCCAACAAGCTCTCTGGGCTGGACGGGGCTCTGTTCCACAGCAGAGCTGGCCCCTCCCCTCTGCTCGCTAGCCAGAGCAGGGGTGGGGCATGGCCAGACGCTGGCCTGCCATGGCCCCTCAGGCAAATTCTTCCCTCTGTCTCCTCCCTGCTGGCAAACCCTGTGGACCACACAGGTTTGGCAGGCCCAGCCACACCTTTATGGCTTTCCTGCAGCCAGGCAGAGATGGTGTTAATTCCTCCCTCTGTCCAGCTTGCTTGCAGCCTGGGAGGGCATTAATTCCACAGCGGTCCTGGAGCAGGGGAGAGAGGCAAACTAGTCCCCTGTGTGCAGATCCAAGACCTGCAGCACCAGACTGAGAAGTGGGAATTGTTGGCAAAGACCTGACAATCATCACACACATGTGCCTAAGCTTAGGCGAAGATTTTTGGTAGTTCCCAACTGTATGCTTTGCAAATTTCTGTGTTCAATACATGCTCGCTTCCAAGAAAGGACTTTTTTCCCCTTCCCCACTCATCAGTCTGGCAGCAGCTCCCTGCCCCCTCCTCTACCCCCAGGCTGGTGGCTGGCATCCTTTGTGTCCTGCTAGCTCTGGCTGGTGCCTGGCCACAACCTCTCCACTTCAGCAGGGAGGCGTGAGAGCCTTGGAGGGCATCTCTCTTACCTCCCCTTTGGCAGTTGCCGGCAGCCATGCTCTAGCACCCCTGGCTTCTGGCTTGAGCCACTGCAGGCTTGTGGCTGCATTTTCTGATTTAACAGAGAATGCCTGTCCAGTTATTAATCAGTTTAAGCTTCACAGTTTAGACTAACTTGCAAAGAATGAATCAATTCAGGCTTAGGCTTTTTGAATGTCTATGCCTAGCCAAAAGCTCCAAAGCATCGTCACTGTCTCCAATATTCAGTGACGGTTGCTTTCATAGAATCATGGAGAAATAGGGCTGGAAGGGACGTCCAGAGGTCATGTAGACCAACCCCAGCCTGAGGCAGGATCATCCCTGTCCAAATCATCCTATACAAATACATAATCTAACCTCTTAGTAAAACTACCTTAAATCCTGACACAACACACAACAGTGGAGCTCCAGAAACCAAAGGTGGAGCTAAACCTGACATTTTGCAAAAACAGCCCTAAATTGGGATTTTAATGATTTGTCCATAGCAAAGACAACATCTTATTAGCCAGAATATCGTATGACTACTTCCCTCCACATCTCCTGGCCTAGCTGGGTCAGTCTGGAGGAACCGGAGCTGGAGCAGAGGTGAGGGACAAAGCTGGAGCTGAGTTCCAGACTGGTACTTATATCCAAGCAAGGCTTTTTTCCTCCATGCTGATTGGAGGAAAATAACTCATCTTGGATTCAAATAAATACAGTAAATTGTTAGTGGCCAATTCAAATGACTAAAGAACTGCACATCCTGGTCAATGGAAGTTATCAGGGACTTCCTAAGATCAATGGTAGTATCTGCAACACTATGTTCGTGCCACCTGATGAAATCCCACTAACATGAAGGAGTTATACAACTAAGTCAGCGTGAACTGGGTTGAGAATTCACTCTTGCTTAACGTAACTCTCAGCCAGAGAGATTCACCTTCATGTCTCCTGAAATAACTGCAAAAGATGCTGGTAAAAAGCACAAATAAGTATAAGCAACAGAACAGCTTCACATCTTCTGAGGCCGGAAGGTATTCATTATACTCATCAATAACTTCTGGCAAAACATAGGCCAGAGAACTTTATCCACTGACCTTATCTTAACCCTGGGTATAATGTCTAAGCCACAGCACACGTTTTTTAAAAAGATAACAGCCTGAATTAAAGCTTCATATTAGGTAGAAACTACCACATCTCTAGATAAACTGTTTCGGTGCTTCTCCAGAAGATGTGTCTGTTTTCTCAGTGAGTATAGGATCTGTTTCCAAAACATTTAGAATCCTTTGGGATTAAACTTTAAAAGCTGGGCTCTAAGTAACCAAAATCTCATCTTACCTACACAGGAAGCTGGTCTGCCACTCCAAACTTTGTTGTCCATACAGGTCACTATTCGATCTCCTTTCAACTGATATCCTGGTGAGCAGTAATACTCACACCTGGAGCCAAAATATGCCCCATCTAAGCACTTGAACCCTCCATTAGCTGGCATAGACAGTGTTGGACATCGTTTTTCTGGGGAAAAGAACAAATAAATGTATACAGATCTTTCTGTGATTAATTTTCAGAGGTGTGGAAGGCAGGAAAAAATACAGTACTGTAGATGAACAAAATATGATTTGGATTTTTCAGTGCAAGTATGCTTTTCCATTTCTACTCTAGCCAACCAAACTCCAAAGTTTATCATTCTACATTTGAGTTTACCTAATGAAATTAAGTTACAATTTAAAAAAAGTTTCCCATTACCAGCTTTTGACCAAATATTTTTTTCCTCAAGAGCTAAAGAAGGGCTCACTGAATAACTGACATTCAAATTTTGCAAGATGATGACCATTTGACTAAAACTAACTAACTACAATACTATCAGATTTTCTAAAAGGTGAGTTTTTGCAGTCTCTCAAACTTCAATAAATTAAAAGCCTGCCTATTTCAAGAAGTACTCCTATCTTCATCAACTCTCTGCTCTCAATATTGTGCTTTCTGTGCTTGTAGACAGTAAACTTCTCAGAAATCAACTATTTGTTCTGGCACAGCTCACCTACTGTACAATAAAAGTGCTATACACATTGTGTGTGAAACAGATGGTGCCAAGTTAGTTGCGCTTTCATCTATGCACGTATATTTTTTTAAATTCAAAATATGGACAAGAGCCAAATGATGAACAGAGTTCATGCTAACAGCAGCTCCTATCCAAGATGTGTCTCTCTGTCCCTGCATTTTATTCCATATTAAATATAAAAACAAATTTATTGACATCACAGAGAGAAAATTAGTTTATCATCCAGTAAAACTGAAAAGCATCCCAACTGCCTCCAAAATCAGCTACTCACGTTTACAAAAAACTTTCCCGGACCAGCGTTTATTTGACTGACAAATAAGCTGTGAAGGACCATGAAGTTCGTAGCCTTTCTGACAACGAATGTCGCATCTTGTTCCCAAAACATTCTTGTAATATCCTCCTTGAGGTGTTCTGCAGTTTGCATACCCATATTTCACCTTAATGGGAGAGCACCATGGTGTTTCTGGCACAGGAAACAGAAAACAGACAGGCATGGGGGACACGTTTTACAAAATACTGGGGCACTCAGGTCACAATCACAAGGCCATTTTGTTTCTGCAATGTTGTAGAGAAAGACAGTTTATAGGAAACAAAATAAACCACACACACAGATATAACTTTCTGGCATGACCCAGACCCAACATGATGTTAGAACATTACAATGGCAGGCCTTTAAAGGTGGAGAGCACACGTAACTTTTAAGTTAAAAGGGTATATTACCTTAGGGATCTATGATTCATGCTGGTAGAGTAAGCATGCCCCCATGTGGACAGGTTGATGATCAACAGAGTATTTACTACTTAGTGTTTACGTAGCCTTTGGATACAGAAAATAATAATAGTAATTCATGTTAAATCGAGAGGAAGTTCTCTCTATCTGCTGCATAATTTTATTTTTCTTCTGCTACTCTTAGTACTTTTGCTCTTCAAACCTCCTTCAGAACAGCCAGGCACTTGCATAGTGGGCACCACAGAAAAAGGCCTGGTTTTAAGTGAACTAGTGAAGGTTCAGGTCACCTCACCTTTATGAAAGGGTTTTACCTACATATTACATTTGGCTGCTTTGATAAAGAGAGAACACAAACGCCAGGCATGTGCATGTGTGTGTTCAGTTTTAATTAGGCCAAATTAATTCCCAGGTGCCATCTAAGATCAATCCAGAACTCAGTAACATGCCATCATTTCTATACATTTAAGATTACTTAGAAACATGGGGTGCTGACATACATAGGAGAACCCCCCCCCCCCAGCACTTTAGCTAAAAAGAGGAAGCACATCTGTTTGACCCAGCTCCCCAGTGTCTGTGTAGTTTGCGTGCTTCAGTGGGGCCTTTTGGCGCTTTTATCCAATAGTTGATTGAATCAGCGATTAGATAAAAGCACCAAAAAGCCCCGCTGAAGTACATGAGCTATACAGATGCTGGGAAAATCAAGTCAAACTGACATGATTCCTCTTCTGGGTGTGCACTGCCATTGCTATGGGGTTGTGCTGAGCAGAAAGTAAAGCGCTGGGTTTTTTTTCCACATTTGTAAGCACCCCTGCTAATTATCTCTAACCAGTTACAAAGCAAGGTTTCTGAACATGAATTAGTGCAATAGCGTCATTCTTACTAAATCCATCCATCTCAGTCTAGAGTTTGTAAAGAGGCATAAATTAGCCCCATTCATCCTGCATAGGCAGCAACTCAAAATCCCTAGGTATAACATGAGCACTAGACACAGAGTATGTAACTAGTGCCTACATTTTATGTATTAGAATATTCCAAGGTGTGTGTATGTTCATTTATGACATCTGGCACAAGTACCTACACAGGGAAAATGGACTCAAGTTGCAAATTTCAGATGCAAATGTAAAACATCCCAAAATCTGAAGCATTTGGATCTG